TCTTTCTATATATCTTCTGTCTTCTTTCTATATATCATCTATCTATCTATCTATCTATCTATCTATCATCTATCTTCTATCATAACCTATCTATGTATCCACCATCTATGAGCTATATGTATCTGTCAATGCGCCTATCTCTATCTATCATCTATATATCTATCTTCGATCTATTTATCATCTATCTATCTATCTATCTATCTATCTATCTATCTATCTATCTATCATCTATCTATAATTATATATTTCTGAAACAGGGTCCTCCTATGTAGCCCTGGTTGGCCTGAAACTTACTGTGTAGAGCAGGCTGGTCTCAAGCTCACAGAGATCGCCTGCCTCTGCCTCCTGAGTGCTGGTATTAAAGGTATATGCTACCACGTCCAGGATTCACTCATTCATTCATTCATTCATTCATTCCCTCTCTCTCTCTCTCTCTCTCTCTCACACACACACACACACACACACACACACACACACACACACACAGAGTTTTCTAAAAGTACTCCTAGGGGGACTGGAAAGATGGCTTAGAGGTTAAGAGCACTGACTACTCTTGTAGAGGACCTGGATTTGATTCCCAGCACCCAGGTGGCTAACAGAAGTCCATAATTCCAGGTCCAGAGTATCCAAAACCCTCTTCTGACCTCTGGGGGCATTCCATGACACAGGCAATACACTCATACACATAAAATAAAAATAATAAGTAAAAGATGTTAAAAATAATTTTTCAAAAAGCATTCCTAGGAAATGAATTTTAAAACCAACAAATGACATGCTCTGGAAAGGAATAAACCAGAATATTGTTTGTCTCTAAGTAATGAGATTATGGTGTTTTTTTACTTTAATGGGGAGAGCAGTGGACAGTAGTTCAAGGTCATCATCAGCTATATATCAAGTTTGAGGCCAGCCTGTGCTAATGAGAACCCGTAAACCCACATAAAGAATGATCTTGAACTTGTGATCCTCCTGCCTCCAGTCCTGAGTGCTACAATTACAGGTATGTACCATCATGCCCAGTTTATGCCATGCTGGGGATAGAATCGAGGACTTTGTGTATAGTAGGTAACCACTCTGCTAACTGGGCTACATCCCCAGCAGGTGCTTCCTAATTTTCCACTTTCCCACTATTCCAAATAAACTATTACTTTTTCTGTTTTTAAAGCTTTTAAAAAATTTCTATTATTTTTATTTTATGTGTATGTGTGTAGGTAAGTGCACCCATGTTGTGCAATGCCCTCGGAGGTCAGAAGAGGCTGTCAGATCCCCTGGGACTGGAATTATGGACAGCTGTTAGCTGCCATGTAGGAGATGGAATACGAAACCAGGTCTTCTGCAAGAACAACCAGTGTTCTTAACCGCTGAGCCATCTCTCCAGACCCACTTGTTTTGTTTTTTGAAGCACGGTCTCACTCTGTAGTCCAGCCTTGTCTCAAACTCAAGATGATCCTCCTGCTTCAGTCTCACAAGTGTTGGGATTGCAGCTGTATACCATTATACCTAGTCCCATTACTTTTAAGATTATAATAAAATTATTCAACAAAAACTTGGGTTTCTCAAATAATAGCCTAAGGACATAATCTTAAACACAGAAAAGGCTTTTGGCATATAATTTTTTTTTTTTTTTGGTCTTTTTGAGACAGGGTCTCCCTGTAGCCCCAGCTGTCCTGGAACTCGCTATGTAGACCAGGCTGGCCTCGAACTCACAGAGACCAGCCTGTATCTGCTTCTCAAGTGCTGGGATTAAAGGTGTGTGCCACCATGCTCGGCTGCGTGGTATAATTTTTTAAAATAAGTTTTTTTAAATTAATTAATTATTTATTTGGTCTTTTTTTTGAGACAGGGTCTCCCTGTAGCCCCAGCTGTGCTGGAACTCACTATGTAGACCAGGCTTGCCTTGAACTCACAGAGATCCACCTGCCTCTGCCTCCTGAGTGCTGGGATTAAAGGCGTGCACCACCACGCCCAGCTTTATTAATTTTATGTGTATTAGTGTTATGACTGCATGTAGGTAAGTGCGCGCATATCGTGCAATGCCCGTGGAGGACAGAAGAGGCTGCTGGATCCCCTGGAACCGGAGTTATGGACAGTTGTTAGCTGCCATGTGGGTGCTGAGATTTGAACCTGGGTCTTCTGCAAGAACAGTCAGTGTTCTTAACCACTGAGCCATCTCTCCAGCCCCATAGTGTATTTTTTAAGATTTATTTTTATTTTTTATTTGTATGTATAAATGTGTATCGCATGTGTATCACATGTTTATCACATGTCCTCATGGTGCTCAAGGAAGCCAGAAGAGGGTATCAGCTCCCCTGGAGCTGGAGTTACAGGTGTTTGCAAGCTGCCTGATGCAGACCAAACTCAGGTCCTCTGGAAGAGCAATATGCGCTCTTAACTGCTAGCCACCTCTTTAGCCTCAACATGGTGTTATTTATAATAAAGATACCCCAACAAATACATGTAAAGCAGAAAATTAATAACAAAGGCAGACATGATGGTAGAACACCATGTCTCTGATGAGAAAGGTTTTTATATATGTCTGTGTTTAGAGTACGAGTGCAGGTGTGTATATTCATACCACAATGTACTCATGGAAGTCAGAGGACAACTTTCAAGAGTCAGTTCTCTCATTCCACCATGGGTTCCAGGCTTTGAACTCAGGTTGCCAGGCTTGTATAGCACGAGGTTTTACCCACTGGGTTGTCTTACCTGCTCCTTGATGAGGAGGTTTATGGAAAAGCTTATCTGTACCCATATTAGGTACAAATACCAGGATTCAAACTATGGATGCATTAACTCCTGGCCACCCATAAAACAAGAACAAGCACAAAAGCAGTGGAGGTTAAAAAGGACAGTGAGACACTTCTAAGTCACCTTTTTATTACTTTTAAAAATAGAGCCATAGCACAGTGTGCTCTGAAACATTAAGAAGAGAAATTCATACAGGAAAAGTAAAAGCCAGGTATGGTAGCATATAGCTTTAATTTCAGTACTCAGGAGGCAGAGGCAGGTAGTTCTCTTTGAGTTTGAGGCTAGCCTGATCTGTATTAAGTCCCAAGCCACCAGGGTGACATAGTGAAACCCTGTTTCAAATGAACCAACAAATAATAACTGAAGACTGGGGGTATATCTCAGTAGTAGTGCACTTGTCTGACATGTGTGAGGCCCTGGGTTCCATTGCTAGTACCATACACATACACTCATGAACACACACACACACACACACACACACACACAGAGTTTTTTTTAAAAAAACTAACAGTACAAATACAGACACCTCAAGCTGTCAGAGATGGGTTGATCCTGACCTGCCTAGAGGCTCACCAGCTTGGGAGGACTGATTGGGTCCTTCCCATGTGTCCTTCCCATATTCTCTGTGGCTGTAGTGCATGTGGAAACCCTCAAGATGAATGTACCTAGCCATCACTGCTCCCATGACCCCAAGAGAGGTGTCAGGAGTGTGACATGTCCAAGTTCAGAAACATCACATGGTGTTTAGCCATTTCCTAAGTACTTGCTGACTAGAATATCGCATTTTAGTTGTTACAGAGAAAACAGAAATACTGAAAGTTGAACTCTAAACATTCTAAATCAGAACTCTCACTTATTGCCCCCCCACCAGCTCTATGAAGCCAGTACAGAGTTATTCCCAATTCCCAAGTGAGGAGGCTAAGATGGGTAGGATTTTAGTATCAGTAGAGCTAGGATTCCAAGGGACAGCTAGACTCTGGGGCTGTGCCTCTTCCTGCCCCACTGTGGCCTCACCCATCAGGAAGACAGACAGACCTAAGCCACTGACTAAAAAGCTCAGCTATGAAGAAAGATGGGAAGACCTATGAAAGCTGATGGGATGACACACCATCCTGCAGAGCTAGTGAATGGCCTGGAGCAGGGTGCTGACCATCTGGGCACCATCTCCTCTAGGCTGCAGCAGGCACAGGCTGAGTGTGCACACTTGGCCTGGCCAGGAGCAACCCTCAATTCCCAACCCATCATCTTGAGGGGTGTGTGTGTGTCTGTTGGGGGTAGTGATTTCTCAAGGACTGAAGGACCTTCAAAAAGGCCCTTATGGGATAGTGGCAGAGCATCCAGAAACTGATCCCTAATGGGCATGGTGGCACATGCCTTTAGTGCCGGCATTTGGGAGGCAGAGGTGGGCAATCTCTGAGAATGAGGCCAACCTAGTCTACATAGCAAGTTCCAGGGCAGCTGGGGCTACAGGAAGACCTTGTCTCAAAACAAACAAACCAGCCAACAAACACCAACAGGGACTAAGCCTAGGCCAAGCAGAGCCAGTACAAGTCAGTCAGGCTGGACCCTAAAGTGTACCTAGTATAAAGACCCTGGGTCCCTTAGGGGAGAGGTGAGTGTAGCTGTAATACACAGCTTGGGCAACAGGTGGCAGTGTGCACTTCTCTAGCATGCCATGTTACCTGAGAGCCAGAAGAGCAGGGAGTTCCGCTTGCAAGGCGAATACCCGGCCTGCATAGAAGGTGCTGGAGCAAAAGAGGAGGAAGTCAGGGACCTGGGAGGGGTCACAAGCCACAGGAACAGAATGGAGAGGCAGACCTGATGGCCAGGCTACCTTAGGCAGAGAAGGGTAGGAGTGGGGACAGTAAGGAAAGGGACACACTTTGATGGGAAGGGTGCTCAGGACAGACCAAAGAGCCCCATGCAGAGAAGCGTAGACCTGGCCTGGTGTGCCCAGAATCATCTCCCTAGCCTTCTAGGCACTCTAAATGTAAAGGCCTAGAGGTCAAGGGACTGAGCCCAGGACCTAGACAATCCTTAGTGGCAGCACTGGGAGAAATCCCTGACACCCACAAACCTTTTTGAATAAGATCTCCCAAAATTTCAGCTGGGTGCTTATCTAGATTCCCAGTACTTGAGGGGCAGAGGAAGGAGGGTGAAAAGTTCCTGGCCAGTTACAAACTAAGTCCATCTTAAAAAAAACAAAAATTCCCAAGCAAAAAGACAAGGATGCTCTCCAGAAGGGACAAGTCAGTCCTTTCTAGATCTGAGGGGTTCAGGCCAAGTCTACCTGCATCAGAGCCCAGCTCATTTGCCCTCAATCTTGACCCTGAGAATCTGCAATACCCTGGCTCACCCTGGTGGAGGGGTGGAGAATACAGTGGTTAAGCTGTGCTGATGTTCATGGATGCCGTGGCCCTGTGCATTGAGTTCTTCTTACCAAAGGATAGTGACACATGTGGCAAAGGAGTTCTCCAAGAGTTACAGCCAACACCTCATTGGCATAGCCTGTTCCAGGCACAAAAGACAGTTTTTATCCTCTCCCCTACAATAAACTGGCACTCCTTCCAAGGTCAGATGGTTCATAGAGGGTACAGCCCAGTAGAGTGAGACTTGCCAGCAGTGCTGAGATTCCACTCCTCCCCCACATGACTTCTTAAACAGGGGCTTTCTGAGCCACCCCAGACCAGAAGTCAAAGACCACCCAGCTCTCCACATCTGCTCCCAGCATCAAAAACAATCCCGACCAAAAGCTGAGGCCCTGAAAAGCCAAAGTCATCTATAACCTACCAGGAAAATAGGTTCTGGGTTGGATCCCAATGCCAGTACTTTGGATACCCAATTTCCTAGACTCAGACCCTCCACCTTTCTCCTACCCTGCCCTTGCTGTTCTGTGATGGTCCAGAAGTCCCTTACTGGCCCATTCTAATCTCATCATGTCCCCTGTAATCAGAGCTATTGACTATTTCCCTGATAATCAAACCCCCATGAACTCTCTGAGTTTTCTGGCCATTCCTGCCTGTACAGTCCCCTCTCACCACCTTAGGACACTCCTTCTCTCTTCTCCTGGTCTTCCAAAGGAGAAAGTCACTCTGCTCCTCTAGGCCCAGAAGCTCCAGGCTTCATCAGCCTCCCTCTTCCCTGAGCCATCTGGGCTGCCTCAGTTTATGTGTGTCAGAGGGTCACATAGACCTGGTCCCACAACTCACCAGAGGGTATCGAGGACAGGGCCATGGTCCCATAGTACGAGAAGGCACCAGTCTCAAACTTCATGTTCTCTTTGCCTGCCTCTACCTCCACCTTGCCCTGAAAGAACATGGGGTTGGTGTTATAACAGGGCTTGGAGGGGTATTTTGAAGCCCATGTGGCAGCAAATAAAAGGCTGAACTGGGGCACCTCTACAGGACAGAGGCAGGAACACTAGCTCCAGAGCCCTGCAGAGTTCAAGGCCCTTGACCAGTGGGCACAGGATGGCACATGGGAGAGGGTGGGCAACCTGGGGCAAGCACAGGTCCAAGGGTAGGCTGCACACTCCCTAGTGTCTCAGCAACAGGGATGATGTGCGGGGAGCAGTGGGTGGGCTCACTTGCAGAATGAGGATGAAGTAGTCAGCTGGCTTGTTCCGGGTATACAGGTAATGGTGTATGGAGAACTTGTTGTGCTCATCAAACCTGAGTTCCTGAATGACATCTGGGTACTTGAGCAGCCGCAGCAGGATTTTCTCTGAGATCAGAGAGGGGCTAAACTGGGGTACCTCTGCAGGAGAAAAAGGAGACTTTACACAGGGTCAGGGCTAGTGGCCCTGGAACATTGGCACAGCTTAACCACTGCTCTGCCAACATTCAAATGGCCATGGCTATTCTGTACTAAGATGGCTCACTCCCTGCTTGAGCCTTCGCTTCAGGCTGCACCTCCTGGGAAGTGCCACACTTACTTCTGCTGCTTAGATGGCATCTGTTAGCCTGCATGGGCTTGAAGGATGGCTCCTGTACTACAGCCATGGCCTTAGGCAAATTACTGACCTTCTATGTCTTGGTTTTCTCATTAGTAAAATGGGGATAAAGACCGCCCTGGGTGGTTAACTGAGATAACACACAGAGAGCACTTAGACACATTCTTGGCATATGCAATGTGCTTAATAAATGGGCCTGTAATTATTATTATCTTTATCAACAGCAACATCCCAGCAAGAAAAAATAAAGTGAAATAAAGGAATTACTGCACCTTTAGCAGGTTAAGAGCCAGAGAGGAAGCTGGCTCAAGGGTGAGGTGACAGGAGGGGTAGATGTGTTTTTCTAACTGCCACTCAGGTCCCAAGGGGTGCTTTGAATCAGAGGTGGAAAGAGAGGACTCTGCCTGATCTACATGTCAATTCTTCAGGAACTGGCACAGTATACAGAGGGAACGTAGAGAGATGACAACAGAGCTGGGCACAGGCTCTCCATGGCAGGTGAATGGGGCAAGGGTAGGCCTTGTACCCTGGGGGACTACCATCTGATGAGATTGGGGCTTCCACATGCTCCCTCAGGTTTCCCAGTGCTTAGTTACCAAACCTAAGCCAACAGTGGCGGCCATTCATGGTGAACAAATGGGAAGAGCACCCTAGGGAGGGAGGGATGCCCAGCCTCTGCCGAGGTGGTTGTGTCCCAGCATTCACTGCTCTTTCCATGGGAGGTATGGCCAGATACCCAAGGTTTCTTCCTCCATGACTGTATTCCACCCATGATGGAAAGCGTTCCACACACTCTCACCTGTGGCCAAGAAACGATGAGCAGCCAAAAGGAGCTGAGGTGAGATTTTTACTTTGAGTTCGTTGTCAGTGTCCTTGAAGGCAGAGAAGTCACGCTTGTTCTTCATAGACACCCGTTTCCGGCTTCGGTTGTCAGCTGCAAGAGAGAGGCTCTGGATCTGAGAACACCAACGATCCCTGAGGACTCAGAACAGACTAGAACTCTCCTCACTGTAGCCAGCACAGGGCACTTGGCTGGATACTAGGCCTGGCTACAAGGCCTCTGCACCCCTCACAGAAGCCTTTCTACCTAGGTATACCAGGTTCCAGGACTGGAAAGGGATTCCAGGCCTGTAGAGAGAGCTGAACTCACTGTACATGTCTGACTCGTCCAGGATCTCAGACTTGATGATCTCTTCAATGACATCCTCCAGTGTGACCAGGCCCAGCACCTCGTAGAAGGGGTCGCCTTCACCCTCATTGTTCACCTTTTGCACAATAGCCAAATGGGACTTCCCTGTGGAGATAGGGCACCACATCAGGCATGAAACTTCCTCAGTATAATGTCAACACATTTAGGATCAGGAGTCATTGGGACAAAGTCAGGGAAGTTTTCTCCCCTCTTCCATATTTTCTGATGTTTCTTCTATAAGTAAAGAGTACTTTAATGAGCAGGAAGACATACAGTATTTTTTAAAGGATCTCACTAAGGACCCTTTATTTAAAGTGGGTAGAAACTGGGCATAGTGGCTTAGACCTGTCATCCCAGTACTTAGGAGGCTGAGGTGTTGCAAGTTTGTGGCCAGTCTGGGCCACAAACCCCTGTCTCAACCTCCTGTCATGTACACAAAAGAAGAAGAGGAAGAAAAAACCTAGAGAATGAAAATGACAAGGTGCTGCCTGGTATTGCTTAGGAGGGGTTTCTAGGCTTCAGGGAGGGAAGAGACTAAAGTACCAGGCCACAGGGAGCCCTTGGCCAGGGGCATGTATATGCCAGCTGGACAGAGGGTCTAGCCCTGCCCAGGACTTCATGGGCAACCATGCTCAGTTCACTCACACAGTTCTGCCTGGCAAACTCCCCTGCTAGGACCTAGGGACTGCCACGCTGCCCAAAACCAAGGCTCTCAGTTCCCAAAGCCACTTACAAATGATCCACTGAATCAGGCTGGGCAGAGTCTGCAGTTAGAAAGGCCCCAACCTAAGACAGAGTTAGGGAAAAGGTGAGGTAGAATCCTCCACAGAAGCACTATGGGTGGCAGGGCTCCCCAGGCTCTCTTGCCCCTAGACCTAGGGAGCAACAACAGGGGAACAACCAAGAAGGGCTTAGCCCACATTCTAAGAATGGAAAGGTGTGCCCCTCGGGGGACACACAGACCTACAGACACACACACACACAGACACACACACAGACACAGACACACACACACACACACACACACATACACACATGCACACATACACACAGGCACAGACACAGACACAGGCACACACACAGGGGCGGGGGGGGGGCTTAGAGCCGACTAAAAGGAAAGCCCTGAAAATCTCTGAAGGTCAAGTTGGGGTCTCCCATATGACTTCTTCCCATCCCCCAAACTAATCCTCAGGCCTCATTTTCAGGTGAGAACTTGGAAACACTCCTGGGAGAGGGTTTCTGCCAGGGTTTTCAGGCCATATATAGTCTCAGCCCCAGGAGGAGCTTCTCAAAACTCAGCCCTTTGGGGACAACAAGGAGAACATGAGGTCCTAAGAAAGTCAAAGTGGGGGCTGGAGAGATGGCTCAGCGGTTAAGAACACTGGCTGCTCTGGCAGAGGACCTGGGTTCAATTCCCTGCACCCACATGGCAGCTAACAATTATCCTTAACTCCAGTTCCAGGGGATTCAACACCCTTTTCTGACCTCCATGGGCATTGCACGACATGAATGCACCTACCTACATGCAGGCAATACACTCATACACATAAAATAAAAATAATAATAATAATAAAAAGAAAGTCAAAGTGGGGGCTGGAGAGATGGCTCAGTGGTTAAGAGCACTGGCTGCTCTTACAGAAGTCCTAGGTTTGGTTCCCAGCACCCACATGGCAGCTAACAACTATCCATAATTCCAGCTCCATGGGATCCAATGCCCTCTTCTGACTTCTGTGGGCACTTCATGACAGGGGTGCACATTCAGGCAAAACACTCATACACATAAAATAAAAATAAATGAAATATGTTTTAAATTTTTCAAAAAAAAAAAAAAAAAAAAAAAGAAAAGAAGAAAATCAAACTGGTACAGTACCTCCCACATGCTGAGGGCAAACACTGTTGGTGAAAGTTTTTAGTATATACACCAGTCACTGTGACCCATATAGGCTGTTAAGTAGTCTTCTAGACAGCCATGAATGCACCCAACTACAAATTCCCTGGTGCCTGTCTGGGGAGGACTCAGCAAACACAAGATATATACCAGAGCCAGGACTCTGGTGTTAGTCCCCAGTGTCCCTCCTCATTGAAGAATGTCCTCTAGAGAGAAAGAACATGTCCAGGGGACTGGGAAGCCAGATAAACTACAAATGGGCACAGGAATTAAAAGGAGGCAGCTTTTACTCTCTTCCAGACTGGTACAACCTAAAAGTCTATCAGTGATGCCCAATATTTGGGGGGGGGGGTAGAAAGGCCCTCACATTCAGTATAACTGGTGGACTAGTTACAGGACACATAGTTTAAGAGACCAATTAGACAGGATGTCTCAAAATCTTGGACTTAGAATTTATCTGCCAGAGATGCAACTGTCACAAAAGCACAAACACACAACAGCAAGGGGAATCATCACAATCTTCTCCTTCACAGCCCCAAAGCAGAAGCCTCTTAAATCAGGAGATGCAGTAGCCCTCCTGATCCAGGGACAGTGGCCCCTGGATGCTCCTGGGAGAATGTGGTTGAGCTGGATGGACAAAATGTACAACAGAGCCCCAGATACTCTTAGTGGAAGAACAAGTTACAGAATATGGTGCCATCAGCTGCAAGGAATGAAGAGGTATGGGGGCTTGAATGGGCCCAGAAATAACTGTAAGTAGATCTATAACAGAATATCTGTAAGTAAGATCCTATTCTGTGGGAAGCTTGGAGTCCTATTAACACTTTCTCTGAACACTGTTATGCTGTTCTATTAGATGGGCATATTTTACTTTTATCTTTAAAAACAAAAACTAAAAGTCTGAGCTTCTGTGGTGGAGCGGTTGCCCAGCATGCTCAGGCCCTGGGCTCCATCCTCAGCACTGCAAAATAAAACCATAGAAACAAAAGGACAAGGGGCAACTGATGGGAGTCTACAGGGTGGGCAAAGATGCTCGGTGCCTCATGTCTAGCCCACAGAATGGGGCTATATCAAGGTTCAGCAAGTAGCACCTTGCTGGGACTGGAATTAAAAAACTGCCCATCCCTCAGTGAATCTCCAAAATGAACCACAAGCTTAGACCAAATCCTGCTACAGGTTGTTTTGGGCCTGTAGGAGAGTCTAGCAGCTTTTCTAAAGGACAGAATTCCACTGTGAATAAAACTCTGATCAAGGTATCTGTGCCATTCCTACCCCCTTTATGGTATTCACCACTTTTGGGCACTCTCTGGTGGTAACTACCAATGTGACAGGCATCTTATCAGTGTGTGGCCCTGGGGCACCACTACCTGTTCAGCCTTGTTCTATGCTGAGAGCTTTGGGCACTGGTCTAGAGATAGCTGGCCCACTGGACTCTATGAAAAAGTTCTTGGCTAAAAAGCCAATTAGTCACCTCTGCTAGGCCAGCTCTGGCTCCCAGGCTATTTGCCTTTTTCTAAAAGCTATCTGCTTATTCAGAAGGGACATCTTCTCACTGTTGGTTACAAAACATCCTGTCAAGGTCACCAATGACTTCCAATGGTAAGGTCTCGTTTTCAGAGGACCTGCTGACCAGGGGTCCCTCCTCCCTTTGGCAACCAGGACACTGCTACTCAGTGTTTCTGGTCTCAGAGTCTCTTCCTTTTCCCTGACCTCTTTTTATTTATTTTTTATTATTTTTTTAAAATTTTTTTTGTTTATTTGTTTTCAGACA